AAACCCTAAACCCTAAACTGCCGTCCTATCACGGCACACTCCCCTGAGGCGTTGTACTCCGTGGCCAAGCCTGGCGCAGCTGCACCTTGGGCTTCAGAGGGCAAGAGACCATATAGAAAGGAATATGATATAACTTCATCGAACATAAGATAACAGAGCTTGATATGATCTTACTAGTATTGAGTATAGTAGGATAGAGGAGAACATGAAAAGATATAATATAGTGTGACATAGTTTAAGAATATATTATATATGATGAACTCGAACATAAGAACATGTTCTTTGATGCTATATAGATGTATATAACCGATTGTAAGTTGTCAGGTAGGAGACGCCATAATGCGAGATGGACACGACCAAACGAGAGTAGCTTTGGCGCTCTGCAAGTTGTCCTAAAGTGCGCGAATTGGGTTCAGCGGATTCGCAGCTCTAGAGGATCTTCTACTCGTGCCGGCAAACATAACTCCCTAAACCCTAAACCCTAACAGTACTGAACCCTAAACCCTACACCCTAAACCCCAAACTCAAAAGCCCCAGAACCGTCGAGCTCCATGTAGCTAAAGCAGGATATACTTAGGCCTGGGCCTTGAATTTAGGGTTTAGGGTTTAGTGTACGGGAACCCATTTAAGGCCTAAGTTTCCACTATATTGGGTACATGGAGCCTTGGGGAAAGGGGCAGGCCGGAAAGACCGAAGTCCGCGAGGGCTCTTGACTAAGACGGGGGCCTAGTTTTAAATAATTACCAAAATACTATGTTGGGGGGTTCCTTATTACAGTTGTAGTAAAACATACTATTTTTGGGTGGTTCCCGATTATAGTAAAAGTAGAATATGCTATGATTTTGGGGTTCCTCGTTATAGCTCTAGTATAACGCACCCTAAACCCTAAACCCTAAACCCTAAACCCTAAACCCTAAACCCTAAACCCTAAACCCTAAACCCTAAACCCTAAACCCTGTTCTAATTCTAAAAGCCCCTACATTGAGGCCTTCCGCGTCGATCCGGCCACCGGGCTCTTGGCTCACCTCAACACGGCGCCTCTTCGGAGAATTCTGAGATTTTGTTTAAGGCTACGGTTTAGGGTTTAGGGTTTAGGGTTTAGGGTTTAGGGTTTAGGGTTTAGGGTTTAGGGGTTTAGGGGTTTAGGGTTTAGGGTTTTCGGGCAATTCTAAGATTTTACAAAGTCTGAGAGTTGGTTAAGGCTTCATAGGGTTTTCGGACAATTCCGAGATTTGGTTAAGGCTTTATAAGGTGTTCGGAAAATCCTGAGATTTGTTTGGCTCAGGGTTTATAGGTTTAGACATGCCCGGAAATAGTGACTTGGTAAGAGCAAAAGTAATACACACAGTTATACTGTTGATGATACAAATCCTGCATTACTTTAAGGACCCTAAACTATGGGAATATGGTATATTCCTGGTTGTGGGTAATGCAGGATTTATATCATCAGCCTGGTGATTGCAGTCGTCCTTCCAAAGTCCCGGCGTCGACCAAGGTGAAGTGCGACATCTCAGGCCGACTTGGGTCGGGATTCGGGGCGGAGAGAGCGTTAGTATAGGGGCCTTAATACTTACCTAGGCTATTTTGGAGGTTCCTTACTATAACATTATAACTGTAGTATACTGGGCCCCAAAACCCTATTCTAATCATTGAGGCCAATATGTTACCACGCCTTGGGATCAGGAGGTTCTTGGTCGCGTTTGTAAACCGAAACCCAAGTTCGATTCTGGTGATCCTGAAGTCTCGGCAGTGAAGGTGCTTTAAGCCGCAAAACCGAAACCCTAAATCACGGACCCTGCGCCCTAAACCCTGAATCCTAAGCATTCCTAGCCCCAGACCCTAAACCCTACACTCTAGACCCCTTAAGCCCTAAACCCTAAGTCCCAAACCTTGCTAGACCCTAAACCCAAACTCTGAATCCGAAACCCTAAACCCTTTATTCCTAAACCCTTACACTGGCCTAAACCCCAATTCCGAAACCCTAAACCCTAAACCCTAAAGACCCTAACATCGGACTCACTCCCAAAACCAGCCTGAACAACTGTAGAAGCAAGAGACTCTAGGTAGCACCCTAAACCCTAAACCATAAACCCAAAATCCGAAACCCTAAACCCGGAACCTGAAA